GAGAGAGATGAACGCAACGCAGCACGCAGCACACACACACACACACACACACATCACACACACACACACATAACGTAACAACGCACCGCGCCACGCGCGCGCGCGTGCGCCTACACACAGCTAGACTAAAACTAAGACAGAGGGCAACTCACGGCGAGAGCATACCTCCGCCACGAGCATACGCCAATACCACTCACTGAACATCACGAATAACCCAACGATAATACGCAGCGTACATGTATGCATGATTCGGCCGCATCAGTCAGCAGCAGGCCGGCATGTGGCTTTTGGCTCGCTCGCATGACGGCTAATATCGATCGCGTCACACACACACACAGACACCAGCACACACAACACACACATCACACACACACACACAGCACACCGACACACACATGCGGCACGACAGCCAGCACAGCACGGGACACACACACGCACACACACAACCGGGGGGCTAACGTGTAGCACGAAGGCGGCACAGACCCGATTACATACCTCGGCCCTCCGACTCCGTGGGCGGGAGGTAAAATAAGATAGCATGTAAGAGTAGTTATTAGAGTCAGTCTGAACGTTTGGTAATTTAATATAATTTATAAGTTGTGGAACACCGTCAAGTGTGCCTAGCCTTTCGGCGAACAGGAAAACAGCATCATCGACAGAATGAGTGGTGGGCGCCAACTGTGGGACGCAGCCAAGGGTGTCCAAGAAAATAACACCGTTGACATCGATTAATCAAAATTAAGGCACAGGTTTTATATGGATTGAATTTCGACACCTTGATTTTTCAGCTTTTTCGAATGAAAGTGGTCCAGCTTGTTTAGGCTAGCACTGCCTACATCACTGCATTTTGTGGGCCGATCGCCCCTATTTATTTGGCAAGAATCTTCTTCTTCTTTACCTTTTCTTGGCAAATGATGGGAGGGGGTGACGCCCCACCGCCACTCATCATTTGCAAGAGCATTTGCAAGATGTTTCTTCTTCTTCGCTTCTTTTCCTTTTTTCTTTTTTCCTTTTTTCTTTTTTCTTTCTTTTTCTTTTCTTCTTTCTTCTTTCTTTTCTCTTGCAAATGATAGGGGGACGACGCCCCCCCGCTGCCCCCCCTGTGGCGCCGGCCCCTGTACACAGTAAAACGGTAAGCACGGTAAAACAGTAACTACGTACACAGTAACAAACGGTAACACGGTAACACGGTAAAAGACAGTAAAGCTACCGTACACAGTAACACCGGTAACACGGTAAAACAGTAAATACGTACGTACAACAGTAAAGCACGGTAACCACGGTAACACGGTAAAACAGTAACTAACGTACACAGGAACACGGTAACACGGTAAAAACATAACTACGTACACAAGTAACGACGGTAACACGGTAAAACAGTAACTAACGTACACAGTAACACGGTAAACACGGTAAAACAGTAACTACGTACACAAGTAACACGGTAACACGGTAAAACAGGTTAACTTAACGTAGTACACAGTGAACACGGTAACACGGTAAAGACAGTAAACCATACGTACCAGTAACACGGTAACACGGTAAAACAGTAACTACGTACTTTACACAGTACACGTAACACGGTAAAACAGTAACTACGTACACCAGTAAAACAGTAACACGGTAACACGGTAAAACAGTAACTACGTACACAGTAACACGGTAACACGGTAAAACAGTAACTACGTACACAGTAACACGGTAACACGGTAAAACAGTAACTACGTACACAGTAACACGGTAACACGGTAAAACAGTAATCTGTGACCACGCGAAATAAACAGCAACGGAAACAATACCGTGCCGTCATAGCCGTTAGTAATTAACGATATTCGTTAATAATTAGTGTTTGAAAATTAGAGTAAACCTGAAATCTGCTCAACTTCTACTAACATGCACGCCTAATTAACATCGACAGTCCTTAATCACACTTCAGTGACTCGTGAACTTGACGCAAAATTATGTGACAAATTAATGCGTCGCGGAAACATAGGCAAACGTTGATATCGATTATATAGCGGGGCAACCGTGTCAGTGCGTTTTAAACGTTTAACTGACACATACAAACCAGTGTTAACGACTTGCGAGTAACAGCCCGACAAGAAAGGGCAACTGAAATTGGAGATCATATTTATTCAGCCACTCCACAGTTTGTCTGCAGTTTGGGGAGCGCAAGCGTAAATTCCGCACAAAGAATGTGAATTCTTAAATCTAGATACGTGCTTAGTAGTGATAGACGGGCTCGTGCGCCACACATCACTCTGTCTAATGCTATATAAAGACTGTTTCGTAGGAATGTACTGCATTTACGATTTGCTTATAGTCAGGAAAAACCGATGTTTATAATAGTTAATAATTAGAGTAGTAATCTCCCAGGACAACTTTAACTCCTCTCCACTTTATATAAGCCATTCTTACCATTTAATATAAATGTATATATTTATGTATCTGATGTTGCGAAATAAATAAATCTTATCTAAGGTAATCTAGTCTAATCTAATGTTGCCTTTGTATTTATAACTTAAGTATTTGACTTGTAACTTATAAGTATTTGACTTGTGATGAATGCCATCTCTATGTTCAATGACACATTTATTGAAAAGAATTATGCAAAATAAAAAGGAGTAGGCCTATATGAACGTGATAAGGATAAATGATAAATCAAACGGAGGTATCACGCAAAAACGACGTCTTTAAAAAACAATTGTAACAAATGAATATAAATGTATCAACATATATGTGTAGAATTATGTAGACATATGTACACATATGTAGGCCCTACGTGGTATAATGAAGCTATACGGAAACCGCTGCAGCCCGCATGCGTCACTTCTGTTCCTCGAATTGAAATCAATAAAGACTACAATCACCGTTATAATTACAAATCTACAATTGTGACTTATATTAAAAAAGACGTGACTTTCGGTGACCCCTTAATGTGCACTAATTTGAATATGCCATCTAACACTAATTAATACTAATTAATCTATCTTCTACAAGTCAATTTGACGTTATATCCTGGCACAGCTGCCCTAAAGTTCTCACTGCTCAATGTATCTGACTTATTACACACTCGCCGAATATATTACTCGTTGTCAAAAAATTCGGATCGCGCCACGGCTATGTAAGTTGTTATATCAGGATTCTCTCCGCTGCCAACACCAATGTACTATAATAAGTGGTCGTTTATATACGAGGTTGATGCCGTAGCCTCGCAAAGAAACACGGTTTGCATGTAGGTATACGTCAGTCCCGTAACACCTATGTCAGCGTGCTAACATACAGTATGCACAGCTAAACTTCTATAGATTCTCGTGTGTACCTACATAAAAGTATATAGCCTTCGGGCCTACGTTACGTGCACGTCCATTGTATATAGGCCTATATATATATATATATACGTATGTCGAGCCTTCGGGTTATATACAGCCATTATATATAATATACTTTATTATTTATATATACTTTCCCTGTGCTGTCCCCAAAACATGTTTTCCGTACTGTAAGCTATACAGCACTGTTTTACGAATTTCACCTCGTTTAGCAAAACTCTCGCGGCACCCGTATAGTGTCTAGTACTTCCTGTATGTAATAGTTATACTCACAGTGGCACCTGCGGCCTCTGTATGAGACCGAGCAACAAATTCGACTTCATCATGATATCGATGACCAGCCGGGTCCCTCCTGTACGGCGAATCAGTTCCCTTCGTCGAGGCCGAGTCACCAAATTTGCTCCGGAGACAGGCGGAGACACGCGGAGACTACCGCATATGTTCACGAATATATCCAGATTCTGTGTCAGCAATGTTCTCATGCAGTAGCGTTGTCTTCTCGTCGGAACATAATACACGTCATAGAAAAGGCCCACGTACTAGGTTATACGCGTAAACACCAGCGGGTTATGTGTTGAGCAGTGGCTAATGTAGCAAACATTCTCTCGCGTGACGGTCTGCCATGCGGAACAACTCGTAACTGGTAGGCTGGCTCGTTGTCAACGGCCACGGGCAATGTCTGTGCGGCTTCTGACATTGTATTATATTGTATGTATAAAAGAGATAATAATATAACATTACTGCACAATGTTATAACTGTTATGTGTTAATATATCTATTATCTTCTATATGCAATGCTATACACAATATAATGCTAATAAATTTATCAGTACCATGGTTCTCACACGTACAGACCTAATTCATCTTCTTCAGCTGACACAATTAACGCATCTGTCGTCAAGACCGCTACATGAGAATGATACATTTCCGACAAAATTCTCAAATATGTACGTAAACTTTAGGATTGCTGATCGACTGTGACATGAGCTTTACAGGAAACTCGAGTATCATAAAATTTGGGTAGTAAAACCAAACAATAATTGTAATCGAGCTCACGCATGTCGAAATTCGCTGAAATAGGGATATGGCCGGGTAAATATAGTTTTGAGTTATAAATCACGTCAGCAAGGTCAGTCATTGACCATTAGATGTTTTACGTGTTGCCTCACAAGTGATTACGATAATAGCATCCTAGCGCCATCTGTGGGGTGCTAACAGCAATAAAATGGAGCATGAAAAGTGGAATTGAAACAATAGATTATTCAACTAGTTTTCCCAGCTACAGCACCACTCTCTCGCAGTATTCATAAATATTATATTTTTGGCAGTAATCTCTTGATGTTTTAAGTCAATAAATGCTTCAAAATTACATAGCATATATCGTGGATAATTACTAAAGTTATCAAGGCACCATAGGTTAACCATAGCCTTGGCATAATTTGCAATGACGTAAAAAAATAAAATAAAAACAAGCTATAGTACCAGTTTGTTCTCACTTAACTTTTTTTAATGACAAAGCATTTTCTATCTGCATAAATAATTTATCTGTGTTAGCTTTACATTATCGAAGAAACAACGCCAATTAAATTTAAATGCTCTCTGTAATACACATTATTTGTAAACTTCAAATTCAGGAAAAATACCACACTAAAATTGCAACACTAATAATTATTATTTCTACACTTTTATTTTATCATTGTTACGATTATTTCGTACAGTACTTTCTAGACAAATCCATGCATTTCCCACTACTCTGACTGTGGTGATACAGTAATTGCAATTTGTGTCATGAAATTGCATACAAAGGTACATGTAAATAGCTGCTTTCCAATTTTCAGTCGGCTATTGTAGACAAGTACGTAACATTTTTCCTGTCAACAGGTAGAACGAGTACAATCATGACAATTTGGCAGCACCGTCTAGTTGTTATGCACCTACCAACATTTCGAGATTCTTCTTATGTACTTAAAACTAAAAATAACTAATATAAGCATAAATAATGATATGCTAACGTCAATACGAAACTGAGATGACTAGCAAGAATAATATAAAGCATATAATTTCACAACACTTTAGGGTACAGCTTAGGCTACATGTTCTTGTAGGATCCCTCTCTGCCCATCTTAGCATGGACCGCTTGCTCACTACACTTACTAATGTCAGAGCAAAGTTAAATTAGAATATTTTCCAATTAGCAATAATGTACAATTTTTCACGCAGTCTTCTAAATTATCGCCAACTATAGTTGCATACAGAATTGGTCGTGCTAATACTGTCTAACAAAAACCAGTTAATCTCGGAGATTTTTATTACAAAAAAATGTGCAATACGATTCAATTGCCATAGTATACTACCCATCTATAGGCTTCTACTCTCGCCACGCTTGTCGGTGCCTTTAGAGCATGGCAGAGAGCCAGCCAAGAGCAATGAAAGCACCACCAACCGGGCACACCTTCCCACAACACTCTTTTCCCGTGAGAACTCGGCAATACATCCCACCAGATGCGAGCATCACGCCACCAATCCAGAGGCCGCCAGTCTAGGATGAATGAGTAAAGGTAGTTAGACTTCAATTGTCACATACACGCAACTTTAACGATATAAATCTAGTGCGTGACACCTAGCATTAGACGTCAAACACACAACATTTTGTGTTTTAACACTCTAGCATGAAGTAACATTTAACTATATTGATTGATAGGAAATTTCTATGATTCTACACATAGTTGTGCAATAGCCTATAATTTTTTAACTGTAACTTATTAAAATTGTTCAAAATAGTTGCAATATATATTATATATACTCATTGAATATCACTGCCTACTAAAAAGGCTACAATCCGCACACACTAATGATCCCATAGCAGTTTGGTTTTCGACTGACCCAATTTCCCATGAAATGAAAATAAAAACCCAAAAGTAAATGTCACTATTATTAAAATAAACTATGGAAGGATACACACAGCCACCAATAAAGCTTTTCACTGCCTTCTTTTTGCACAGAACAAAATACTTTACCAAATTACAGCAACAAAAATAATTTGTGTGACATCACAAAAGAACAATACAAAATTGGATATGTATGACGAGATATACCTCGTTTTATGCACCACTTCCCAATATTGTTATGGTCCAATGAATGAACATTAAGAACAAGGTCAGACGTTTTTACCAAAATGAATCAATACAAATAAGTTAGACCATGGAACCAGCCTAACATAACCTTAACTACTCCGTGGACTTGATTACCCCTTCAATAAAATAACAGTAAAGCCACAACTGTGCCGACTTACCAAGCAAGGGTGTCTTACAAGTGGCAGCGCTAGTATTGCTACAGCATGTGTCAGATGTAGCCTGTGAGCTACTTCATACATCTGGTAAATGAGAAAATGGTAACAACCATGTCAATGACCTTATAAAACCATGCAATTAAACTACAGCACTGACATCACGTCTAATTAAACATCTCAGGGTAATTGGGTTTTAAATAGTGGGTACCTCTAACACGGCATACCTTTGGAATAAAACTTACACAAATTTACACTTTTTGAAATCTAGTATTTATTAACTTCTAACTAATATCGACCAAGAAAGCCTGGCATGTAGGGTAATTAAAATGAGTTTTTCCAGAGGATTGTTGTTAATTAATGTTGGAATTTTTTGATCTTGAAGAAAAAGACAAATGGATTGGATACATGCCTTCATTAGCTCCTGTTGTTCTTTCTCTTCTTTGCCCTCAAGCACTGTATTCAAAGAAAACCAGATGAAAGTGGTTAAAGGTAAAAAAAACAACATGGCAATACGTGGATACTATCAATTAGAACTACAGGGAAATGAACACGGGTATGAGCACGGCATAAGAACATGTTTTATATGCCAAACATATACATAGGGATATATACACAGATGAATAGCTGTAGTCATGAGCTATAGGGGTACATACCTGGCTAAAGTCAGGAATACACACACATCACACGATCAAGTTTAGATATGCAATCAGCACGTTGCACTCGAGTAAGTACAACAATTATCACATTTATTGGCTGACCAAGGACTGAAACTGTGTGTGTCTACATGTATCGATGTGTGTATAGCTCTTGAGCGCTAGCTCTAGAACTATAGCCCTTCAATCCACCACAGGTGCGGCAGAGCAAAGGGTTATAGTTTTAGAGCTAGCGCTAGTCTGATTGAAAGCCTCCCCTCCACTTCAGCAGATCAGTCATTAACAATTGAAAGTTAAAATTCAACTGACCTATCCGCCCATGCAAAATGTAGCCACGCCCCTTGGATATTGTTGCTAAGTCGAACAAGTTCACAATTTGCACGTGTACACACATGTATTTTGCCAAAATGCCGACACAGTGGCACTTCGTTACCAAGCGCTGTGTTTCGAACGTCCGATTGCTACACTAATTTGTAATTAGTAATTGGATAATACCAGGAGTTAATAAAGACAAAGGAGTTTGACACGTATTTGGTACTGATTTCACTACATTTTGTCGTACGAGTTCGATGTGAATAAAAATAGAAATGTATACAAACATGAGCTTCTTTTGTTCACTGGTCCTTATTCTATCTTCCAGTAGTATTACAAACTGCGTAGCTTCCTTCGTTTTGACATAAATCGTACTTTTGTATGACATGGTTTTCACGATATTTACCGTAATGTGGCGAGGCCAAGCGGTAAATTCGCATACACAGCAACTGGAAGAAGGCGCGACAGGGATCGCGTATCCCGTACGTTATCTCCTGAAGAAGTTTTTGTTCGGCTTACAAAGCCGAGTGATGACGACATTAACTCTTGCCTCTATCACATACAGATGGTCATGATAGGTAAGGTGTAAACACATGCGTTTGCCTGCAATTGCATAGTAACGGTTGCTATGCAAAATACGTGCAAAAGGCTACAATCAGCTGGAGCGTCAATTTACTTGCTAAGATTCATACACATCATTCCTCCGTGGGTGAAGTAGTTCAGATATTTTACCAGCGCAGCATTTATTTAAAAAAAACTCCAGGATTCAACCATAAAAACAAGGCATTCTAACTATCGTTTCAATATAAAATAGTTTTAATTTTTAAACCCAGCATGGGTGCAACGTAACTTAATTTCTAAGCGCATTTTCTGTACTCGGGTAAACTACGGCCTAAAAGTAAAAGCCCTGCCGTGCCTCCTTCCAGTTGGTGTGTATGCAAATTTACCGCTTGGCCTCGCCACACAACAGTAAATAACGTGAAAACCATGTCGTGCAAAAGTACGATTTATGTCAAAACGAAGGAAGCTATGCGGTTTGTAATATACTACCGAAAGATAGAATAAGGACCAGTGAACAAAAGAAGCTCATGTTTGTATACATTTGTATTTTTATTCACATCAAACTCGTACAAGTCGACAAAATGTAGTGAAATCAGTACCAAATACGTGTCAAACTCCTTTGTCTTTATTAACTCCTGATACTAGTGATAGTGATAATACCACTGTTACCACTAACATAGATACAATAATGTAACCCAAACCCAAGAGGATAGGGTTACAAAGCCTCCCTATCCTTTTGTGCGGAGGAATGCCCGAGTGAATCACTCGGGCCGGTTTGCTGGTGCGTTTTCAGAGACTAGAACTTCCAAACTGGGTTTATTCTCAACACGAACCTTTCTCCGCTATCTGGGAACTTACTATGTATCGCAATACTATGTATTAAACTAATATAACCTGTTACAAAAATTCGAAGTGACGAGCGGCGAATATACTGAGCGCCATTTCTGTTGACCTGTGACGTACGCATTTCCCAATGCGCATAGCGATCGGCAAACGCAGCGCCCTCCGATTGGTCGGTGAATCCGCTCTTCAAACCGAAGTACGTCACAGGTCAACAGAAATGGCGCTCAGTATATTCGCCGCTCGTTACTTCGAATTTTTGTAACAGGTTATATTAGTTTAATACAGAGTATTGTGATACATAGTAAGTTCCCAGATAGGGGAGAAAGGTTCGTGTTGAGAATAAACCCAGTTTGGAAGTTCTAGTCTCTGAAAACGCACCAGCAAACCGGCCCGAGTGATTCACTCGGGCATTCCTCCGCACAAAAGGATAGGGAGGCTTTGTAACCCTATCCTCTTGGGTTTGGGTTACATTATTGTATCTACCACTAACAGAGCTGCATGCCAATCACGCCAAGGGGACAGGTCTACTGTTCAGTGCGACATGTATGTGTAGAAGTAGCTAAGTAACCGTAACCTCACATACCCCGTTAATAGGATATTAATTATTGATGACGTAGGGCCTACTCATCATCATGAACAAACGTGAAACGATGCAGGCACGGAGGCAGAAATACCTTTGGGCAGTTTCACTTTCGCCATCATGCCCATCACCACGGCGGAGGCTCCAAATGCTCCGCCGATTCTCACCCAGCTCCTCCCAAACGAGCCGATGTCCACTGGACTGCTCGGACCAAACCATTTGAAGCCAGAAGAACTGTCTGGGCCAGCTCTGATTGAAACTCCGTATGCCGGCATAGCGAATTATTTTTGTAGAGCGAAGAAGAATGACCGTAAAAAACCAAGCCGAGCCCGTCCTTGGAAAGCGATGGTGGCGACACTGTTAAACCCAGTTAAGTTTCCTGTGACGGCAGGGGGCGCAGCTTTGTCACAATTTTGGTGCTTGTTTACAACTGAGACCTGTATAAACTCAACTGAACAAAAACGAGTTATTTTAGGAGGCATATAAATATAATATAGTAGCTGTCATGGATGGTTTCTTAAACACCGTCAAGGGAACCGCCCTTGGAATTGCGGAAAAATTCACACCGACCCTAAAGGTATAATAATGTTAAAATTCTTCGCATTTGTACAATACCGAATACGAAATGATTGATGGCTGCACGATCGGTTGTTCAGATATAAGTGTTATAATCTGTTAGTGTTAGTGTTAATCTGTAACCTTACTGTTATTATTAAGTAAGTTTAATCTCAATCTGTTGCAAGCCTAACACTCAAGTCTTTAGGACCTACGTTTACCCGGTAGCCTACTTTATGAACCCCGGACATTCATCATCGTCATTATCATCATACATGATATTGATACATCCTAATGTCGATGATACCTAGCTGCTGTGGTTATGTGTATGATTTCACATTTCTCTCAATAGATGGCGGAGCGATGTAAGAATTGGGAAAACATACCCAAGGCTATTATATTTGTGTATACAGCTAACCCTTTATATAAAGGTTAATTAGGAAAACCCAAACAGTGTAGTTAGTAGTTAACAAACAGTTAGTAGGAAAACCCAACCCCAACCCCAACACATGTTCGATCCATAGAGTTGTTCGCTAGCATAAGTTTGACTGTCTCATATAATATGTAAAATACTGGGAAAATATAAATTTATTGCGCGCATATAACTATAATTAATGTTCATCAACAGAGAATGCATACCAGAAGTTCTATATTTTTTTCTATCTTATTGTAGGAATCCAAGTTTAAAGAAACAGGAATGCTAACGGCTGAAGAAGTATGTACATCCATATAATGCCATATACTTATAATTAAATTGGTTGCATGCAAAGAGTGCTTAGCCTTAGGATCAAAGTTTGTTCAACTATAGGGTCTACAATTATTTTCTTCTAAAATAGCATATATATATATATATATACTTTCTGTCAAATAGGCACAGAGACTCATTTTATGCATTTATCATACACCTACCCTGTACTGATATTATTTACACCATCCTGCCAGATATGGATGCGCTTTCAATGTCATCAGAAGCATATCTGTATAGACCTATCTAAAGTGATTGAACCGTCAAACCAATGACATAAACATTTGTTTTTTTTCTTGTCAGTTTCTTGCAGCTGGTGATCATCTAGTCCATCACTGTCCTACGTGGCACTGGGCAAGTGGAGACTCTGCAAAAGTAAAGTCCTACCTTCCTGCAGACAAGCAATTCTTACTCACAAGAAATGGTAAGCATTTAGTGGTGGATAGAGACACTTAGATAGACTGATGAGATTGCTTGCAGCGGTAGTCATGTAGTACTTAGTTGTATTGTTTATGAAATTTGTTGCGGCGAAACGATTTATCCGCCTGTAGTAATCATTGCCTGCTTCATGGGAGATTTGCTTTATGGATAACCATGCTTGCAGTTCCGAGCTACAAAAGGTGTAAACAAATGGAGTACATGGAAGAACAGGAAAAGATTATTGAGGACGAAAACGACCCTGATGGAGGCTGGGTGGACACTCACCATTACCAGTCTCTTGGTGAACATCCATTATGTTTTATATAACATCATCATTTCTAATCAGTAATGACATGTTCTCGCATCACTGCTAATAATGGCGACTAACAATATGTCAAATGTATTTGAAAATTATGCGATGTATGTAATCGTAACTTTCAAGCTGCTTTTTTGGCCGGCGACCAAAGAAGATGCATAGATCATCTTTGTTGTATGTAATTGCTGGTATAAGGTGAAAGACTGCAGAAAATTCTACCAGTTACTACATTTAGAGCTGGAATGTAGCTATATGTGGATGTGATAATTTCTTACTCCATTTATTAACGTTGTGAAACCAATATGTCAGATCAGTCTACAGCCTCCGTAGGCGATGCCATGGCAGACCTGAGCCTGGACTCTGAGAAACCCACAGCTGCTGTAGATATTGCTGAAATTAATGATGATGACGACGATGATGATGAACCTGCAGTAGACATGGATGATCTGGAAGAGAATGAAATGTTAGAAGAGGATGAGGTGAAGATCTAATGCGCTTTTGTAACTTTTATCTCAACATTCGTTAGAATTCGTTCAAAAAAAGATGAATTTGTTAAACTGATTGATAGTAACTTAAAAATAACAGTAATTCAGCTTTTAGCATTATTTTTAGTTAAATAAAATTATTCAGGAGAATTTGTGGCAAGTCTCCGTCATTGATCGTACTAGATTTAACTGAATATACGCGTCTTTTGCAGCTCACAGTAGATCCACGCGCATTAGCTAAGAAAGATTCCAAGTCGGAAGGGGTCGAAAGCGATACTGGAATAATACAGACCAGGACCTATGACCTTAACATTACATATGATAACTACTACAGAACTCCTCGGCTCTGGCTCAAAGGTTATGATGAGGTGCGTCGTTATAAGTACCCACATTATAACGGGCTTCCAAGCTGAACGTAGCATTCCTGAAACTTGGAAGGTAGCAATGTTCACCCTTTCAGCATTGTTTTTGGTTAATGTAAGTAATTAATTGTGCTAAATTTTAATCTCTAGTACTTAAAACATTTACTGACATGCACTTTTTAATGATTTCCCCCTGTAGATGGCAGCACGAGGTCACATTACAACACTTGTGTAGCACTGCTGTCACGCTGAAGATAATTTATGGTTGGAATTAGTTACCTCTGTAGCACGGCGCATGAACTTGTTGCCCATTGTCTACGTACGATTCATCGTCTGTTGGACAGAACCGTGTTCCCCTGAGCGTGGAGCAGATGTATGAGGACTTCAGTCAGGACCACGCAAAGAAGACCGTCACCTTCGAGAATCACCAACATCTTCCCGAACACATGGCCTCCGTTCATCCTTGCAGGTACATGTACATAATACCAGAGGTAGAACTTAACTTTTGAACAAGGGAGTCGGACTCCCTGCCCTCAAAAAGAGGGAGTCCGCAGTCTGAAGTTCAAAACTAAAGATATTAACAATAACGCATGTGCTTATTTTGAAGATTCGTGCGGTTTCACGTCTGCCAAATTGTCTTTGGACATTTGTTAAAAAAATCTATTCCGCGCGGCTGTGGTCTGGAACGAACTAGTTAGCATAGAAGAATTTTCAGGGAGTCACACGGACTCCTGCATATGTTAAATCAGGGAGTATTTGACTCCGGACTTGCGTTAATTTCGCACCCTGCAATACGCAGTGAGGGGTATTTCTGCAGCGACCGTAGTTAGCTAATGAGGTATTGTAGTTGTCTACGTGTTGATGTTACACACGCAATTAACCTTCGAGAAGTGAAACTAGTAACCAACTATCTGATCTTGGTGGCAGGCATTCCAGTTTTACTGAGATCTCAAACTTGTATTGACATGGATAACAGGAGATAGTAAATCTTATCTGTCGTTTAAAACGTTTTACATGCAATTTTTGTACAGGCATGCAGAAGTTATGAAGAAGCTTATCCAGACTGTAGAAGGAGGTGGTGAAAAAGAGCTACATGTGCATCTGTATCCTTTTACAAGTGGCATGATCAATTTTGGATAGAGTGATCTTTTTCACAAAATAATTATTGTCCTTTTTAAGATGTAATTCCTAATACAAATATAATATGTCAACAGTACGTGTAGAGACGATAAGCGAAATTGTTTCAAATATACTCATTCCACACGTTATAATACTTACACAGGGTCTCTGTGGCAAATCTAACCCAAAATAATCAATGTATAATAATATCCAACCGTAGCAACGAAATTATAGATGGGAACAGTTAGCTAATAATCTGTTTCTCATTAATGCATTTGAATTCCTTAACGTGTCTCTTCAGATATTTGTTGATATTCCTGAAGTTTGTGCAGGCTGTTATTCCAACCATTGAATATGATTACACACAGCATTTCCACATGTGATAATAAATATTAGTATTAGTCAAGACAGTAATTGTGGTCATATTCTAAAAGAATTTAAATATGCACATTAAACTATGTTATGCTCCCCAATTGATGGTGGTTACACATTAATATTATAACACCGCAGCCCTTTTCTGAAGTACCTCCAGCGTGATTTTCAAAATATGTATGTTGTCATGAAAATGGCTGCTTTGTGAGATTTTTAGTAATATATCCAGACTATATAGTAAGTTACCCGAATTCTGCGTTAATTGATATATTTTATAAGTGACTAGCGGGATACCCGGCGTTGCCCGGCGAAATCAGTGGCGTTACTCATTTGGTGACCGCTTGGTTGAAAGGAAAATGCCCCAAAAAATCTAACTATCTATCTATATCCATGCATCCATCCCATTCCATACCATCCCATCCCATATCCCATGCCATGCCATTCCATCCCATATCCCATGCCATGCCATTCCATCCCATCCCATCCCATTCCATCCCATCGCATGCCATTCCATCCCATCCCATCGCATGCCATTCCATGCCATCCCATCCCAAACAGTAAAAAATAAAAAGATGATAAATAAATAACAATAAAAATAATAAATAAAAAAATAAGACATTAAAATAAAAAAGTAAAAAATTAATAATCTATATTATATGAAGTTGTTCAGCCAAATTAGTGTGTTCGCGCATAACTAGAGAATTCCGCAGCCTAGAAGAAAACTAAAGATATTTTCAGAATCAGCCTGTCGGGGAGGTGGTTCTGGCTGAAAGAAAAATTTTAAACAGTTGAAAAGTGAAACATTCATAAAAAATTCTATTGATCAATAGATGGCGGTCACGTACGTACACACAACATCACGTCCGGGATCCAACACCTGGATTCCGGGTTCGAGTCCCAGCTGGGGAACTTATTTTCCCCTTTTTTCCCTTTACCCCCCTCTTTAGTATGTATTATTTTTAATTTTTAATTTATTTAATTAATTATTTTTTTAGTTTATTAATTATTTTTATTTATTTTATCTTTTGATTTCTTATTAGTTTTTACTGTTTGGGATGGCATGGGATGGGATGGGATGGGATGGGATGGGATGGGATGGGATGGGATAGCATGGAACGGGATGGATGGATGCATGGATGCATGGATAGATAGATAGTTAGATTTCCTTTTTTCCCTTTACCTACCTCTTTAGTATGTATTATTTTTTATTTATTCATTTATTTAATTTATTATTTTTTTAGTTTATTAATTATTTTTATGTTTAATGTCTTATCTTTGGATTTCTTATTATTTTTTACTGTTTGGGATGGGATGGGATGGCATGGCATGGCATGGGATGGATGGATGGATGGATGCATGCATGCATGCATGGATAGATAGATAGCTAGATTTTTTGGGGTATTTTCCTTTCAACCAAGCGGTCACCAGCTGAGTAACGCCACTGATTTCCCCGGGCAACACCGGGTATCCCGCTAGTACATACTAAAGAGGTAGGTAAAGGGAAAAAAAGAAAAAAGGGGGAAAATAAGTTCCCCAGCTGGGACTCGAACCCGGAATCCCTGTATAGGAGACGGATGTTCTAGCGATTACGCCACTGCGCCGTTAAGATTATACACCATGGATTCACACGTACGTGTTGTTAATCTGTATGCACCGCCGCCATCTATTGATGAATAGAATTTTTATCAACTTTTAACTTTTTTAAATTTTTGTTTTAGCCAGAACCACTTCCCAGACGTGCTGATTCTGAAAATATCTTTAGTTTTCCTCTAGGCTACTGCGGAGTTCTCTAGTTATGCGAGTACGGACTAATTCGGCTGAACAACTTTATATATATAGATTTTCCTCTAGGCTGCGGAGTTCTCTAGTTATGCGAGTACGGACTAATTCGGCTGAACAACTTTATATATATATAGATATGTGTCTGACTGGATGCACATAGTGTTAGTCTTCTGTATATTTTCCCTGTTCAATTAAAAAAGTACTATCATTTTGTCATCAGCTGCATGATATAACTCCATCTGGCATACAGCTATTAGCAAGCTATTACTTGTAGCGATATTTTATATATTAATAATTGCACTTGAGTCTATATTATGTGCATGTAGAATTCGGATCACCTTTACTGTATGCAGTGGGAGTGGTATTGCATTAATAGTGAGGTGTTTGCATCGCTGTCACCCAGGCTAACTTTCATTGTTTTTAAGTACGAAACAAACTTAAGTACCCCCTTAAAGTACACCCCTCATGTTCATTTCCAAGTGCATACCATACATCTCTAATATTCCTTTCCCTCATCAAGTAACATTATTACTTAACCCTGGATCATGACATCCATTCTGTGACTCATTTCATGACGTAAGGTTGCGTGTGCCTATCTGGATAGGGGGTTTGAAATTAAAGGCAGTTTTGCTGCCTGCTCTCAACGTCGGCAGCAAATACATGCTGCCAAGACGTTCCTAATAAACCATAGTAAAAGCACTAAAGATAGTGACGGAGTGAGTAAAGTTGCTGCCTGCCTAAAAAAAGTAAATCTACAACCCTAGGACAAGTGGCGTAGCCAGGATTTTTTAACAGGGGGGGGGCAAAAACAGCGAGCTGCGCAAAATGGTGGACGACTCCGTGACTTAATATTTTAATGGTTCCTCCGCCTCCCTCTCCACACCCTCCCTATGTTCCCCCACCTCTCAGCTCTGCAATCTTTGTTTCAGGCGCCATGCATAAAGGCGACATTTTTTTCGTTGTTTTCTGCTACCAAGATATATAAAAGGAGTGGGGTGAAAAACAGGCGGGGGGTATTGGGGTCCTCCCCCAGACAATTTTTAAAATGTTGATCGCAGATGGTATTTGAGGCACTTTTGAGTACATGTACATCCTTCATTCTGACTAGGAAAATTCTCTTTTTAGTAGAACAATTATTTTTTTATTTTTACTTTCGGATCAACAGGGGGGCCATGGCACCCTTTGCTCCCCCCTAACTACGCCACTGCCTAGGACACATTTGCATTATTAAACTGCAAAAGATGGCAAACTGTTATTACTGTTTTAAGTTCTAACATTACCAGTATTAAGTATTATTAAATGTGATTGTTACTACCTTGTCATGAACAGGCATAATTGGTCAGGAACAACTAAAAGTGTAATTGTATGTTATATGAGCAAATATAATTATTGCCGTTGATATATCTTTACTCGTTACACGACGATGTGTTTAGTCTACAACTGAATTGCTATTCATTTGGGCTTTGAATCTCTTATGCACTTGACCATTCTCATTACCTAAACATTTTCATGATTTCCAATGATGGCAAATTTCTATATAAATTTAACATTAAATAATGCAATCTAATTTTTTTCAACATTACTTTATTTAGGGGTGTTATAGAAATATTAATAAAATTATTACATTAATTAAACAGCAAATATGAAAACTGCAACCGAAATTGCTCTATATAAATAAAATAAAAAAATATATCTCTGTGCACATATACAATCTAGACGTATGAACATGACTCACTGTACGAATCGCATATAACATATGATCAAGAGTGTGAATAATTAATTTACGCAGCATCCTCTTGATATAATACGTATGAACCCGTAACACTCTACTGAGATTCCACTTCCAGAAGTTTCAAGATAACAGGCAAGTACATCAAATTCTCCTTTCCGAGCATGGACAAAGAATCCTCAAACGCGATTGTGTTGTCGTCCACCCGGCCCTTCATGCGCGCCAGCAATCTTTCGCACAGTTCCCTGCCTACCTTCTTCTCCAGGAAGTCCCACAGCTCTCGCGACACCGGGGAAGAATCGGAGAACCCGGACGGACGCCGGTGAACCCTGTACAGCAACCTCGCGACGACCAACTGCTCCTCCTCCTCCTCCTCCTCGCTGTCCTTCCTGGCCGCGACTTTCTCCGGCTGAAACTTGTTCAGACGCCCGAGGACCTTTGTCAGCATGTTGATTTTCGTCTGCTTGTTGTTGTTCTTCTCGTGCTTACTCGCAGACGTGGGGGCGCCGGTGGAGACCTCGCCGGCAACGCCGAAGACTTCGTCGTCTCCGGCGCACCTGTCGTCGTCGGCAACGGCGGTGTCCGAATTGCAGCAGCCGAGTAGACTCTCGCGGCCGCTCGACGTTGCCTCGGCGACGAACGCGCGCATCGTGTACGTCTTGCAGTTGACGTGGCTCTCTCGCGGCAGCTCACCGCCCCGGACCCTCGCCTCTCCGTCCCGCGTGACCTGTGACGGCTGCTCCCCGGAGATACTCGGTATTTCTTCGCGCAGGAGCAACTTGGGTGGCGGCTTCGGTCCTAGCGGCGCTTCTTCATCAGGCTGGGTCTTGACGTTGCCTTCGCTGTAACCGCTGTCGTACTGCGGTAGTACCTCTTGTCCGCTACACGCAGATGCTTTCCTGAGGCTGCATTCGGCTGCCTGTCTAGTGACCAGACAGCGTAGACTCTCTTCTGCAGCTTTACCTTGCACTGCAGTTCCCTTTCGCAGACCAGTCACCTGCATGGCAAACAATCATTACCCCTAAATAACTTTTCAATAAAAGTTCTTATAAAACAAAGTTCGCACGCTTGCACAACCAACCCCTAGAAATTTCAGTGTTTATATTCCATTTAAGAAAAAAAATAAACAGGCTGACCCCAGGTGTCCAAGTACAATAATGTTTTCATATCTTATTTTGCTCTCATGGCAGATGTTAAATTTGTCCTCAAGTTTAAAAATACTATACACCATGATGAACACACGCTACATACCATTTTTACTTCTACATCTTTGGAGCTTGAATCTGAGACTGCTTGGCGCACTCGCGTATGCTTTCGTTGAATCTTAGGCGTTGACAGCGAACTTTTACGTGACTGCACACGAGCCCGCAGCGCCACATTTGGATCAATCTAAAATAGAGTTCCCCTATTAGTTTACTTTCGGATTGAATAATACTTGCATGGTCATGCCTGAGTCATTAGTTGTGCAGGTAACAGTAGCTTTCGAGTTATTAGCAATCAGAAGCAATTGCACCTATTTAATTGAAATATTAAATTTAAGATGACACACATTTACATTAACAGGTAACTTCGCATTGAATTTAATCAACAATGTTCCCATGCAATCATAGTACCAGCTAGCATTATTATATTCACCATGAATCTTGTACCCAAGAACACAATTCTGAAAGTGGCTAGCCACTACCTAGTATACAAGTTTAGATTTGTTTAGTATACGAAAGGGTTTGCCATAGCTTTATCACAACTTTTCGACAATAAAGTTCGAAATCCCGCCGCACATCCAACGCTAAGACGGCGCACAACCGAACTCACATTCTCTTTATTTTCTCCGGCGCACTGCGCCTTCCTCTCCCTCTGGCCGGCTCGGTGAATCAGGCGAGTGCTGTCCTTCTCGCGCCTGGCTTCCTTCCCGGCTCCGCGCGCAGTGTTTGTGCGGTCGCACACGCCCTCCCGTATCTGCGCAGACTCCTGCACGGCCGCTCGCGCCCCTCCTCCTCCCGCGCCGCTGCCCCGCCCAGCGGTCTCCTCCCGCGACACGTCCCCCGTCGGTTCGGTGGGTGCTGCCGCCGGACGACGCCCCTGCTGCGGACGCACGCTGTGTTGCTGCATGCGCTCGTAGTGCGAGATGTAGAGCTGTATGTGTGGCTGCAGGTTCTCCACAGAGAGTATCTGTGCGGCGGACGGCCGGCGTAGAGGGTCGGCCCGCAGCAGCACGTACACGAGGTCTTGTATGAGCGGCCCGTAGACGCTGTTGGGAAACAGGCGCCGTCAGTTATCATCGTCAAAGTGTCATTTCAGAGCGATTTTTATGACAACCGGTGATAAGAAGATCGTGTTTTGGTTTTCGCAACGTTAAACTATTAGTTGTTTTATACAAGTATGCACCAATTGTAAAAATGTAGCAGTTATGCCTGAGAGGGAATTATCACGTAACATAAAATAATTCCTAGATGATGAAATTAAATTATTGTTATAATTAAAAGGAAATACACGCAGTGCGCAGAAGACTTACCTTGGTATAGGATTATATTTGCCTTGCATGATCTTGAATACCAGGCTATTGAAGTCAGCACCATGGAAAGGATATGTAAGAGCTGCAATCTCATAGAGAACACATCCAAGTGCCCACATGTCACTCTTTTGATTATATCTTGATAGGATGGTTAATTAAAACAATAGTTTATTAAAGATAATTAATTTCATTATCATAGCTTATTAAATATGGAAAGTACTACTGACCTATTTTTGACAGATTATACGTGATCGTTGAAGCGAAGATACGTAGTGTAGTTACTAATGCTATTTGTCAAGATTTTCATTTATAATAATGTGATGATGCTGAAAGGATACGGTTTTCGTTGGCAAATCTCCGGGGAAATGTAGTATGGTGTTCCTATTGCGGTCTGAGCATGATCGTGTGTGCCTTCAAGGATCCGAGCTATACCAAAATCTCCTACTTTTACAATATTGTCTTCAGTCAGAAAGATGTTTGCAGCCTTGAGATCTGAAACAAAAATAGAATCACCTACATAATTCATCTGAAGCAAACTTGTTTCATGTGAAAAATATAACACCGTAAAATGTGCATACTTTGAATTTATATAATTTGGTTCAGCTCATCAATTATGAGTAAAACACCAAATTTAGTCTTGAAACTTTATTAAAATACCAACTAATTTGTTGAGACCTTTAAATCAGAATACACATTTAGAAACAACAGATAGGATTGACATTGCCTTAGAGAACCCATGTGGGTAAATGCCTACTACAGAGTAGAACACAGCAAATATACATTCAATAAACTTAGCTGGTTACCTACTTAAACTAGTGTAATAACAAGATAAGAACTAACTTTACCTCTGTGTAATATACTTTGTCCATGTATGTATTCGAGGGCGAAACAAATTTGGACAAACCAATTTAAGATCGTAACTTCTTTAAAAAGTTGCCCCTTCTGAAGCTTGATCTTCTGATGGATGTCTCCTGAATTAATAAATATAAATTTATATGAAATTATAATAAAAATTAAAGCAACATTGAGAGGAGATGATGAAATGAATTTTTTTGCAGTGGCTGGAGGTACGGTAGCCGTATCTCCAACTTACGAGGCTGGAGGTATGGCAGTCCATTCGCTTTCATACAAACGAGACCAAGATGGCGGCAGATTTTGAAATAATGCCTTGGGAAATAAATTCACGATTTGAGTTTTGATGAGCTAGAAAACACTCGGATTAGGTATGAAAATGAACATTATGATTATTGTAAACTTTACATCAGAAGATCGCAAATAATTGCCTCAGCCCTCAAACAAATACCAAAAAGGGGCTTCAACGAACGATGGCTGCCGTACCTCCAGCCACTTCCAGTTTGTTTAGCAATCTTTACGTAGACTGTTGCAGTCTAGTATAGAAGTATTATATTATATTAGAACTATTAGAAAGTATAGTGTATTTACAGTGTTTTCATGTACTTTGTGTTATAAAACGTTTAGTAGTTCAACGGGACGGGGAGAAATTACATGCACGAGTCGTTCTGGAACACTGCCAAAGTGTTGCTACAGGCCCGCACGCATTGTTAACATACGTAACACCATTTTATCTAACCGCGCTCAGCTGGCCGTGCGATACTGTACATAGGACATCGCGTGTATTGATTACCCCGATTAGTTTGGAAGACACCGGACCGTCACTAGTTGATAGTTTGTTACCAACATAATATTTAATTGTGTGAAATTGATTACACTGTTGGAAAATATTACTTATCTTGTCTATAACTGGCTAGTTATTAGTAGTCAGTAATATGAAAGCCAACTGCAAAGAGAAACTAAAACGGGAACTAGCCTATCTGCAGACAGCATGAGCAGCATGATAATGTTACTATCACTATCAGTGTTATATGTAACATTTCATTATAGCCTTCTGTTCATTCAGTCTATATTACAGAAAGCTGAGAAATGCTGTTAATTGGTTGTAATGTAGTATATATACATAATATAATATAAATGTAACAGCAATACTATATAAATATAATCTCAGTCTATTTTCAAAACATGTTACTAGTTTCTCTTTCTCTTAACAGTGTGTGTCTGTTGTATTGCTCAAGACTACCTCAGCGTAAAGAAGCTAATTGTTCAAAGCGTGAATGGCGATAATAATGTAAATTATTATTACTGTTGCAACAACAAAGTATCATACATACAAAGATATGATATAATTGATTTATTTGTACCATACCAGGGTTCTCCCCAGGATGAAATTGAAACAGGGGGGGGAGGGTGGAGGGGGTGAGGGGGAGGGGAAACTAGGGGGGTCAGGGGGCCTGGTCGAATCACTGGCAGCAAGAACAAGTCCGCACCTGCAGCTACAACACACACGCATCTATTGACTATATATAACAACATTATATATAGTTATATATAACTACTATAACAACTATTGCTACTATAGCTGCGTTCACACGTATACACGGCCTCGCTGGTTCCGTACTTAGTTGGTGCTGAGTTCGGCTGAAATGCCTTCACACGAGATACACGAGATTCGAGGCTTAGCTAGCTAGGTATAATATAGACTGGTACCCGGTCGACAGTTCCACACGCTACACTAACGTCGTGCAGCGAATGGGTACCAGTCTAGGTTAGCGTGCTACAGTTTCGCAATTCGAATGCATTCACACGACAGACAATACGCGGCCAGCGTGGTGCCGAATATACGCGGCTTAGTTGGCGCGGAATATGATTCCGCGCTATTGCAAGCCGCGTATTTCAGTACGGTACTGAATAAGCCGCGTATATTTTAGCGTGTGAACGCTCAAGTACGGAACTGAAATCCTCGTGTGAACGCAGCTTATAACAACTATAACTACTATAACAACTATATATAACGTTGTTATATATAGTCAATAGATGCGTGTGTGCTGTAGCTGCAGGTGCGGACTTGTTCTTGCTGCCAGTAGGTCGAATGGGAATTCTTGCCGAGGTGGCCCCTCAATTGCCAGTAGCAGCAGCGCCTCCAAAGCTGACTCACTCAGCCTGTTCCTCATGTAGCCATTTCCATTAAAAAAAAAACCAATTTTTTTTTAATCGGGGCGGAAATAATTTAAATGTGGCGCAACGATTGAAATGGGGGGGGGGTTCCCAAACGGGGCGGGCGCGCCCGGTTTGCGCAACGTAGGGAGAAGCCTGCATACCATACATAATTATGTTTCATTTTTATTTAAATTATTTATTTTTATGTAAATGTAATGAAGCCCTATTGGATTCACAATCGGTAACCAAGTTGGATTGGTGACCTGTTTCCATGGCAACAGCAACAAATAAACTGAAAATAACAGTATAATTATGGTAATATAAATAATATATAATACACATATAAATACATAACTAATGTAAAAATAAAACAAATACACTGATTGAAACTAAAATGAGAACAAATTTAGGGTAGGAGATGTAACTTAAATAAATTTTTACCTGATGTGGTCAATTTGATGACGTCATAGATCATCCAGGTAAGGTCATCGAGAGGTTAAATTACGGCTACTACTTACCTTTAGTAGGGACATACCTCATGTGAAATATCAAGGTAATTCGATGAGAAATGTAGAAGATATGACGAATTAAGTCACTAAAATTAAGTAAAAGTGCACAAAAATTTGCCGTTTTGCTCCTATAGGCCGATGAAAGTTGATGTCATGGTTCTCGTCAGCGCCCGCATCAAATTTTACTCCCGCACCAAAAAAGTTCAACACTCATCGCTGACGAAATTCCCGCATCAAAAAGTCCCCATATGAAATTCCCGCCTCAAAAAATCAACAATCTACAGTCAGCACTACATGTATGGAAGACAAACAGTAAAAATTTGAGTAAAAACTGTCAACAAAGAAGTTATGACATTTTTCAATCTTATTTTGCATTATGTACAAGACCTGACCTGATACCCTCACTAAGTTCTATTGGTTTGTATATGAAAGATGAATGTTGATCTAAATCCCTTATCAAAATCTCAACAATGCCTGACGAGCACCATGAAATCAACCTTGGATTCCTCAAACTGCGTCAAAATTCCACCACGAAAAAACCATTAAGAAAAAAAATCACCTACTAGTACTATGCCTATTTTATGCTTGAACATGACTTGTCACTTGGTTTCTATTCTTTTTTTGTAACACCAACTAAAATTACTATCGCAGAAACGATTTTCGGACAAGTCTAGCGTGTAATTTATTGAATAGAACTAGAACTTAGAAGTACCTTTTTCGGCGAACTCCATGACAATGTATAGCGACCCATGTTCTAGGAAGGCTTCTCTGTATCGTATAACATTTGCGTGTTTACACCTTGATAAAATCGCAACTTCGCTCGCTGCATGCTCTCTTTCCTTTTGAGGCATGGCTTTTACATTAATCTCTTTTATCACATAGCGTTTACTGCTGGATTTTGATTGAACTAGCCATGCTTTTCCAAAAGTTCCAGATCCCACCAATTCCAACCTCTTGTACTTTCCCGCCATGTTAATTAATAGCGCCTATCCTCAGAGTTCACTTGCGCGACTATTAAAAACTATTTTATTGTATTCCACAAATCACACATTAACATAATGTAAAAAAAATTAAAACCCAAATAAGTAATTATAGACTTTTAATATTAGTAATACTTGTTATCTTTTAATAGTAAGAGTGTTCAATGTTTTTGATTTCGCGAGAAATCACTCGTCGTAAAGCGGCAGGTGTGTGACGACGAGGCGAAAACATTGAACACGTAAACTTTCTTCCGTGTGTTCCAGATTCGTGTTTGTGTGTTTAAGATTTACGTGTATAGTTGTTTACATACGGCTTCCTGAGATGGGGAAACGACTACAGACGGTTGCAGCGCTTGGCTGCATGAAAACATTGCTGATGATATTCAATTTCCTCTTTTTTGTAAGTTGGTATTGACTATTGCCAGTTATTGCCATTGCCTTGGTAATAAACACGAATGATGATGTACGAATGCCACTGGCACTAGGGACAGCGCGTCTCCCAAGTCCGACTCAGGGGAGAGATAGTGATCCGCTAGATGGCGCATTATTAATTAACAATTAATAAATTCAGTTAACCCTAACCCTAACCCTAATCCTAATCCTAACCCTAATCCTAACCCTAATCCTAACCCTAACCCTAATCCTAACCCTAACCCTATCCCTAATTCAAAAAAAAAATAAATAATTTGGCACCTTTCGGACTTGGGAGACGCGCTGCCCCTAGTCGCAGCCATGATGTACTGTACTGTACTCTGTACTGTACTGTAGTCTGTAGCCTAGATACAATAATGTAACCCAACAAGAGTAGGGTTACAACGCGTCCCTATCCTTTTGTGTGGAGGAACCCCTGAGTGAATCACTCAGGGCGGTTTTCTGGTGCGTTTTCAGAGACTAGAACTTCCAAACTGGGTTTATTCTCAACACGAACCTTTCTCCGCTATCTTGGAACTTACTATGTATCACAATACTCTGTATTAAAGTAATATAACCTGTTACAAAAATTCGAAGTGACGAGCGGCAAATATACTCAGCGCCTTTTCTGTTGACCTGTGACGTACGCATTCCCAATGCGCATAGCGATCGGCAAACGCAGCGCCCTCCGATTGGTCGGTGAATCCGCTCTTCAAACCGAAGTACGTCCAAGGTCAACAGAAATGGCGCTCAGTATATTCGTCTCTCGTCACTTCGAATTTTTAGCTCATCTGACGAAGTCAGATGCAGCTTGTAGAATCGCATGATCGTCCGTCCGTGCGTCCGTCCGTCAACAGTTGGGCACAAATCTAAACGGCTCGACATAAGGATTCGAAAGTCGGGACGTGGGGGGTAATCCGAAAACGAGTTGGGGTGTCGAAGCTGGGGGTCAAAGGTCAAAGGTCAAGAGGTGTAAAAGAAGGGGGAACATTCCCTCCTTAACTTATGGTATAGGGAGGAAATGCAGAATTGCGGCACAAATCTAAACGGCTCGACCTAGGCTCGTGATAGTCGGTGTACAGCATCATGGTAGGAAAAGCCATCACTGTGCCGAAATTGGAGGTCAAAGGTCAATGGGCACGGCAGATTTTAGACATTTTCTGAGGACATGGTCTGATGGAGCGATTGAAAAACTTTTTCTTTCAGCGGTGACCT